CCCCACTGCTGCTCTGCAGGCTGTTTTACTGTTGATTCTGTGCCGCAGCATTACCGTACAGCATGTCTACAATCTGTGGTGCAATGTGTGCAAATCACATCCTTGAAGTTTTAGAGCTCTGGATGTTTAACCTCTGCAGAGCCAAATAAATCACACCCAGCTTTCCCCCTGAAAACACCATATGGACATTCTACTTATTGAGCCTGTGCTGTAATAAAAGTTTCTCAGACTTCCTTCACGTGGAGCTTTATGACACTGTAATGACATTTGTTATATGGGTATGTTAACAATGTGTGTCTGAAGATATTTGGTTTGGAGCAGGTGCGCAAGCAACAAAACGTTTTTCTATTCGACAGAGGAGATATAACTTTGTGCTGTCGTGCCTGCTTAGATTAACACAGCTTCTCGCTTTTTACAACGCTCCTATCTTTGGATCGGGGAAAGGAGGATTACAACCATTATTTAAAAGATGTTATTGTCAAAACCTTAAAGATATCTACATGATGTACACTGAAGAAATTTAAACATTGTCTTAATTTAAATGTGTTATGTCAACAGATTGCACATAATAACTATTAGGTTTGTTGAAAATAATATTAAGTTTAAATAAAAAATATTAGGTTCAACTTAATAGCATTGCTTTCAACTAACCTAATACAATCATGTGTAATCTGTTGACATAATAAATGTAAATCAACGTTTCATTTTTTTCAGTGTGGGATATTGTCTTATTTGAAAACATGATAAATGTAGAAACGCTTTTCGATTCCTATTTTAAAATAAAACTGAGCTCGAAAAATGTATGATTAATTCCTGGCATATCGGTTAAATAAAATGTGATCATTCTTTATTTTAAACTATTAACAAAAAGAGCATTCTCCTCTTGAAACAATTTGTACAGCCTAAAATGTTGTACATTTGAATTCAAATGTAAAAGCACACTTGATAAATAAACGTTTATTTCCATGAAATCAACAAGAATATCTCAGGCTAAATAATTAACTACATTCAACATTATACAGGCCAATGCAACAAACAATAGAATAACAATAAAACAAGACCATATAAATAGTCAGAGTTCAGTAAGTGCTGAAGCATGGCAGCCTGCTCATTTGAGTCCGTGCTGCGTCTCCTTGTGCCTCCGCAGGTCCACCTTCCTCTGGAAACCCTTCCCGCACAGGTCGCAGCCGAACGGCTTGAAGCCGGTGTGCTTCCTGCTGTGCGTGATGAGGTTGGAGCTCTGACTGAAGGCCTTCCCGCACACCTGACACTTGTGCGGCTTCTCACCTGCAGCACAAACGAGATCACACAATTAGAAATTGTCCACAAAGAGGCATTTTACGCGTTTTTGCACGAAGAGGCATTTAACACTTTTTGTGCATTAATTTTGTTCTTGCGGTGTTTACCTGTGTGGATGAATGTGTGTTTCTTCATGTCTGACTTTTGGTGGAACCTCTTCCCGCAGTACTGGCACGGATAAGGCCGCGTGTCAGAGTGGATGAGCAGGTGCGTGGACAGCGTGGAGGAGCGCTTGAAGCTTTTCCCGCAGATTTTACAGCTGAAGCTCCTCTCCTGTAAAAATAAAAATGCAACATGTCATTGTAGAAGGTTTTAAATACATAATACTTAAATGCAGAAAAACAGTAAAAACCGCAAATGTGTGCGGTTGTGTTGGGAATTACGCAATCTGGGCCCTTTATTCACGGGGTGTGGGCCTTAAAGTTATAGCAGCTTTATCTCCAGTGAGAAGCCTACCTGAGAGTGAACCGCCCTGTGCTGATCCAGGCTCACTGCGTGTCCGAAGGTTTTCCCGCAGATCGCGCACTCAAACGGCCGCGTGCCGCTGTGTGACCGCCGCACGTGCACCTCTAACCCGTGGGGCGTGGAGAACGACTTTGGAAGAATAAGGTGATTTTTACTTCGACATTAAACTTAAAAACTTCCGAATGTATTCTGATCACACACTTGTTATGTGTGGAATGACATCTTTATTACATTTTAATATACATTTGGCACAATGATAACCAATAAAACACGACTAAAATCATTTTTTACATATCAACAATCTCAATAAATATTAAAATAATATGACTGACGTGGTTTCGGGCCTACCTTGCAGCATTTCATGCATTTAAAGGATCCACTAGAGCACACAAAATCATTTTCAGACTTGATTTCCGCGACGCGTGGCTTCTGCTTTACATCCAGCTCGTCCCCATCCCGCATCCTGCACATCTGGTGGGCCGTTGAAGAAAAATCCTGATAGCATTCGGACACCGGGCCCCGCTGTGCGTAAAGAGGCTCTGCGCCGCTGTCCTCACCGTAGAGGCCACCCGGTGAGTGAAGCTCTCTATGGCGATGATATGGCCCCTGGACCAGATGCCTCAGCTCCGAGCCCGAGTACGCCGTCCAGGAGTAAGGAAAGACAGGGGAGTCGAAGGGGTTCCCGTCCTCAGCTGGAGTGCAGCATTTATCTGAATCTTTAGAATAATTTGGATTTAATGTGAGCGGACAATCTTATTGATTTGAGATTATGTGAAGCTCAGGCAGTGTCTTGGATCATTTTCAAATGCATTTGGCCTCATTGGAAATGGCTATAGGGGACATGCGTATTAGTAAATTCAGACAACAACAACAACAACAACAATGAAACCCTCAGGACTCCGCGTCAAAATAACGTTGCACATTATCAACAACACTTTTGTGGGCAAAGAGTCTAAGGATACTGAAATATTTAACAAAATATTTATAAGTTATGATTTATCAAATGTTTTTATCTTGGTTCTCCTTTATGATCATCCAAAATTACCAGGATATAAAGTTAACGGTGCTGAACATTTTCAAAAGATTGCACTCATAACGCGGATATGGATTCATGACAACAAAAATGTCATTGTATGTAAACTATCTTGTCCAAAATAAATGCCACCCTCACAAGTCAAATAGGACACACACAACTCTAACAAACAAATCTGAAAGACACCATATGTAGGCCTACAACAGACCTGGTGAGGAGGACGGGGACGGGGGACGCCAGTAATGACAGTCGGAGGATCGGTCACACACACTGCCTCCGCAGCTCAGCGGGGAGCTGGAGGACAGCGACCTCGGGGACAGCAGCCTGGCCCCGGCGGGCAGCCTGTCTGCGCCGCCGCTCACATCCTCCTGCGGCTCCAAGCTCGACTCAAGCTCCGCCTGAGATTTGGTTTCTAGTGACAACAGAGGAGAGCAATGAAACTTAATAAAGGTTTGAAATGAAATGAATGCTACATTGATGAGGAAAATATATACATCCCACGGATCGCTCTTTCTGGCGTTATTCAATCATTTCTGTGCGTAATTACGCACAAGTGAACGTACCTGCGCACACGTGTGCCAGAATCGTATCCAGCCTGTTGTAGTCATCATCCAGGTACCGAGGCTGGTGGTAGCTGTGGGCCCGTTTACTCTTCACCAGGAAAGACCTCGGCATGTTTACTCTCCTTCAGTGTTTGGTCTGCTGCGGCTTTGAAAATCCTCCACTTCACTTCACCCTCTCCACGCTGCTCTGACTTTATCTCTGGACAGATTGCAACACTATTGGTTGACAGACGAGACTGCGTTGGGATTTTTGGCCAGCTATTACGCATGCGCAGAGAGACTGTATCGTTTACCAGGTGTCGCAGGGCAGGTGGCCAAAAGCGCGACCACCGCCCCCCGAATGGTCCCTGTAGGGATGGGAACCAAGAGGACTTGTTGTAAGTCTTTAAGCTGACGAAGGCTGAATCGTAAAAGGAACTTTATAGAGATGTTTTATTATAGACTAAAACCAAACCTGGTTAATGTAAAGGGGAATAGTGTGATTCAATTAAAGGATAATCATTTCATGTATTATTATTATTATTATTATTATTATTATTATTATTATATTATTATTATTATTACAATGTAGTGTTTGTAAAAGGGAAAACCTATTTTTTTTTAACGACATTTCTTTACACGCAGAAATATGTTTTTCTATAGCCTAATGCAAATTGTTCGATTGGTGTCCACAGTTGTAGAAAGTTATTTTCTAAAACTCAAGAAATTATTGTTTTTGAATTCAGTCACATATTTATATAGCATTTTGACGGTAAATCTTTTTCAGCGACCCAAAAACAGCAAACAAACCAACGTAGCTACAATAACTAAGTATCAAATAAGCAAAAAGATAAATAAAAAAAAACAATAATAATACAATAATTAATAACTCAACCGTTTCTTCAAATTGTTTTTCCTGCATGGAAAAAGTGATTTTTTTTCTCCCCATTGTAAATATTGCGTGTATTATGTCAGTTGAAATTCATTTTTATTTGAAACCGAGATTAAATGTGCTCGTTGGAATGTATTTTAAAAGCCGACTTGACAATAAAACTTGGTAATTTAGTCTCATCAAGCCAGACCATGTGCACGTGCCGGTAACTATATAATTTGAGTGTTTTAGACCTTTAAACCTGTGGATCTGTGCGGGTAGAGAGGCTGTGATGGATAATGACCTGTTTGTTTGGCTGCTTGTAAAGTGATCCTGTTAAAGAGACGCGCGCGGGCGCTCCGCACACCAGCCTGCTGCTGGGGAGCCGGGTGTCCCTTTACAGACACACTGCTTCAGCCTGATTGTTTTACATCATTAAAACCCCCTCCCTATACTCAGGTGCAATTAGGCTGCCCACTGAAAGAAATGCAGGACTGAATACTTTAGTGTCAGGTGGAATATTGAGAACAAGATAATCTGAATCAACATATAGTTTTCCAATCTGTCACAAATCATAGCGAAGATTTGGGCTGTGTTCAAGGTCAAAGCAAAGCGACAGGCTATCGATTTTTCTCCCATGTGGGAACAGGGTTTGTTTGGTGCAGCTGCAACAAGTGGCAGAGCTGCAAGCAGATAGCCGATAGCCATAACGCTGAACACATGTCCCATACTCACTGTCTCCCAGCTCTGAGGACACACACTGCCCGGAACTCTGTCCACACAGACTGTCTATCTGCACAGGCTGCAGAGACACGCCACACACACACGCCACACACACACACACACACACACACACACACACACACACACACACACACACACACACACACACACACACACACGCACGCACGCACACACACGCACGCACTTTCCCCTCCCTCCCCCCTCCCTCAGACATTAATTGTCATGTTATTCAGCCATGACATTCAAACACTGATTCATGTTTTTGATAAAGGAGCACACTGGTTCTGTTATCTTTGGACATTTGCATTCTAAAAATAAATCACTTGGTGCTTTTAAAACTTTTTTCTTTCATTATTACAAGCTAGATTTTTCAATATGACTCTCCATGTGGACTTCTAAATAAAAATGATGGATTTATTTTTCTGATAACTCACTCACACAATCATACCAGAACTTAACTTTCATGAGAAAGCTTTATGAAATGTTTAACTGGCCGAAAAGTGTAAAAAATGAAAGAGAAATCACTCCATGAAGTTTGACATTACTGGGATTTTGAAGAATAATTCTTAGGTTTAATTAGCAGATAGCAATATTAAAGCGAAAGTAAAATTATCTCTACAATAAATGCCACATGTTATCCTGGAACATCACACAAACATAATTAGATTCAAGATTCAAGGCTTTATTGCAGTGTATATGAAAAACTTAAGTCCAAGGCTCCTCCAACAATGCAACATAAATATATATAGGATATAAAACCAATTGAAGCAATACAAATAGTGAAATAAGTTACAATAGAAATAAAATAGTGCAATATTAAATGATATTCATTTTAAATATTATAACAGGTTACAAATCCAGCTGCTGATTCACAGCATTCTGATTCAATTCAATCATAAGCAGTGAGTTAGAGAAGGACAGTGTTTTTGACAGGTTTAAACTCAGAGTTACAAACTGACTCAGAACAGGAAACCCAACGCAGAGTCGAGAAGACGCTATCAGTGTTGCCACAGCCTCTTGTGTCTGTATCCC